GATTCCACAAGGTGCTGATAGGTAGTCTGAGGTATCTGGTACCAAGCGCTCACCAACTGGTCCTACAATTCCCTAACATTGCGAGGGGGTAGCGTGACAATTCTAATTTGGTTTTCAAAGTAGGAGCACAAATGCTTTTTTGGATTAAGGTCAGGTGAATTTGGGGGCCAAGACATGACTTGAAAGTCGCTGGAATGTTCCTCGAACCAATCCATGACAATTCGACCCTAATGACATGGTACATTATCCTGTTGGTAAATACCATCCCCCGCAAGAAAAACTGTTGCCATGAATGGCTGAACCTGGTCTGCAACTATGTTCAAGTAGCTTACAGATGACAGGGATTGTTCTATGAGGATTATGGGTCCTGTAGCGTATTAAGCAATATTAAAGAGCTGTTCAGTTTTTTTATAAAAACTTTTATTTACAAACAACACAAACAGTAACAAATATGAATTACCCGTAACGGGATAGTGAAAAGATCATAAAACAGCAAGAAAAGCCCGTAACGGGATATAAGGAAACTCACCCGTAGCGGGATAGACAAAATATTATGAAACGACTAAATAGATAAAGTGCCCGTAACGGGATAGTGAAAACTCAAATTCCACACAAAACTAATTCTAAAAAATCAACAACTTTCTGGTGTTCTAATTTTATCATCTGCTTTTATTACTTAAATTTATCTTTTTATGTGTTTATTTTAATTATGCTTTTGCCAGCAAGTTAGTTTTTAATATTTTTACTTTTATTCATGCTTTTGAAAACCAATTATCTTTCTTGTATTTTTAGACTTTAAAGTCCTAATGTGCCCCATGAAAACACTGTTCCTGGGCGAGAAACCATGAAAACCTGGGCGAGCCCATTGTTATGGATGGAGAGTGGTCATAATGTAATGGCTCTTCGGTGTATATATTTATATTAATTGTAATTATTTAGTAAAAACTAAACTAAACTAAATAATATTTTTTGTTGACCTAAGTGGGAATTGAATTTAATTTTTTTTCTTCTCTTATATTACTTGTTTTCGTTTGCATACTGTATCAATACTTACGCCATGTGAATGTATTAGGCGTTTCGGAGGACCCGTTGTACCCGAAGTGAAGCTGATACACAGAGGATAGTCGAATGGCACTTCTTCAAATTGAATGTCACCTAGATCATGTTTACTTCGTGCAGATTCAAGAAAATCTGATATGAAAACACTGCAACAATAAGAATGTGGTAAATATCTTCAGAAAATAAGATATTAAACTTAAAGTCGTATTTTCTTTGATTAAAAAAAATATCTTAACAGCCGCAGCTGTCACAACTGTTAGGGTTTTCAATTTAGCGTTACATTATAAGAAGTAATTATTTATTAATAATAAGTTTTTTAAATAAATATTAATGATAAATATTATTAATAAATATTATTAATAAATATTAATAATAAATATTATTAATAAATATTATTAACGAATATTATTAATAAATATTATTAATAAATATTATTAATAAATATTAATAATAAATATTTAATTACTTAATAATAATGTTTATAAATTAATAATTAAAACGCGGACTAAATGACAAAAAGAAAAATAAGAATATCTGTAATTTATTTTCTTGGGGGGGAAGAGGAGTTAATAAAACATCTTCTTTATTCAATTTTTACTATTCGTTGACCCTCTCCCTATATATATTTATATATCTTGTTCAAATTTTCAATAATTAATAAAATACTTTTCATTCATCCACTAAATACATCTTTTTAATATACTTGAAGTCAATCAAGTTTAAATACACTTATAGTGGATGACACGTGATGTTAATACAGTGTTTTCAAATATTAATTCATTAATTAAACTTAATTAATTAATTTTACTTTTATTTGAGAGAAAAAAAATTATCTTATATAAGATATTTAGTAGGACATAAATTTATGAATAAATACAGTCAGTGGCGAGTCTGTCCTATGTATGTATGATTCTGTCATTTGTATATACACCGAGGAGCCATTACATTATGACCACCCTGCTAATGACATGTAGGACCACCTTTAGCCCTCAAAACTGCTAGCATCAGCAGTGGTATTAATTCCACTAGGTGCTGATAGGTAGTCTGAGGTATCTGGTACCAAGCGCTCACCAACTGGTCCTACAATTCCCTAACATTGCGAGGGGGTAGCGTGACAATTCTAATTTGGTTTTCAAAGTAGGAGCACAAATGCTTTTTTGGATTAAGGTCAGGTGAATTTGGGGGCCAAGACATGACTTGAAAGTCGCTGGAATGTTCCTCGAACCAATCCATGACAATTCGACCCTAATGACATGGTACATTATCCTGTTGGTAAATACCATCCCCCGCAAGAAAAACTGTTGCCATGAATGGCTGAACCTGGTCTGCAACTATGTTCAAGTAGCTTACAGATGACAGGGATTGTTCTATGAGGATTATGGGTCCTGTAGCGTATTAAGCAATATTAAAGAGCTGTTCAGTTTTTTTATAAAAACTTTTATTTACAAACAACACAAACAGTAACAAATATGAATTACCCGTAACGGGATAGTGAAAAGATCATAAAACAGCAAGAAAAGCCCGTAACGGGATATAAGGAAACTCACCCGTAGCGGGATAGACAAAATATTATGAAACGACTAAATAGATAAAGTGCCCGTAACGGGATAGTGAAAACTCAAATTCCACACAAAACTAATTCTAAAAAATCAACAACTTTCTGGTGTTCTAATTTTATCATCTGCTTTTATTACTTAAATTTATCTTTTTATGTGTTTATTTTAATTATGCTTTTGCCAGCAAGTTAGTTTTTAATATTTTTACTTTTATTCATGCTTTTGAAAACCAATTATCTTTCTTGTATTTTTAGACTTTAAAGTCCTAATGTGCCCCATGAAAACACTGTTCCTGGGCGAGAAACCATGAAAACCTGGGCGAGCCCATTGTTATGGATGGAGAGTGGTCATAATGTAATGGCTCTTCGGTGTATATATTTATATTAATTGTAATTATTTAGTAAAAACTAAACTAAACTAAATAATATTTTTTGTTGACCTAAGTGGGAATTGAATTTAATTTTTTTTCTTCTCTTATATTACTNTACTTATTGAATTACTACTTTTCAAAGGGGTCCGGCTGTCAAAGGAAATGGCACCCCAGACCATAATGTCTAGTTGAGGGTCGGTGTGGAGTGAAATAGTGAAGGCAGGATCCCCCCTCTGCCCTGTGCGTCTCCAAACACGTCTTCGATGATCGTCAGGACACAGTTGGAAGCGGGATTCGTCGCTAAAGACTATACGTCCCCAGTCGGCATCATTCCAGCCTGATCGAGCATCGATTTTGCGCGTCTTAGTGCGTTTTTGGTGCGTCGATTTTTTTTCTTATAGAGTGTATTTAGTAGGACATAAATTTATGAATAAATACCGTCAGTGGCGAGTCTGTCATACGCATGTATGATTCTGTCATATGTATATATATATATATTTATAAGAATTGTAATTATTTAGTAAAAAGTAACTAAAATAATATTTTTCTTTGTTGACCTTAGTAGCAATTGACTTTAACTTTTTTTTCTTTTACAGTACTTGTTTTCGTTTGCATACTGTATCAATACTTACGCCATGTGAATGTATTAGGCGTTTCGGAGGACCCGTTGTACCCGAAGTGAAGCTGATACAAAGAGGATAGTCGAATGGCACTTCTTCAAATTGAATGTCACCTAGATCATGTTTACTTCGTGCAGATTCAAGAAAATCTGATATGAAAACACTGCAACAATAAGAATGTGGTAAATATCTTCAGAAAATAAGATATTAAACTTAAAGTCGTATTTTCTTTGATTAAAAAAAATATCTTAACAGCCGCAGCTGTCACAACTGTTAGGGTTTTCAATTTAGCGTTACATTTTGCTTTGAAACACCAAGATTATAAGACTTGGAAATTTATAGAAAAGTGTACAAACAATACATTGGAATAAATATTCAATATTTTGTGTTAGAGTTATTGCTTGTCCAAGAATTATTAACCATAAGGGTCGCTCTACAGCCCGCAGAAATGCAAATGCAGAGTAGAGATTTAGCATACTGAAAGGGCCACATTTGCTTATGAACTTAACACAAGTTTTTTCGGAATTCCAATTTTCTCAAAAGTTATTGTAACTTTAAATGCAAATTACGTTGGATTAATAGTTCGAGAATTATCAAGTGTTATACTTAAAAGAAAAAAATCTTATGATACATTTTATTTTGATGCGCATTGATTGTAAGACTTAGTAATTTATAAGAAAAGTGTATTGAAAATACATTGGAATGAAAAAAAAACTTAACGTTCAATAATTTGTGTGAGAGTTATTAACTGTTCAAGAATTATTAAGCATACGGGTCGCTCTACAGCCCGCAGAAATGCAAATACAGTAGAGTAGAGATTTAGCATGCTGAAAGGGTCCCATTTGTTTATGAACTTAACACAGAGTTTCTTTGAAATTCCAATTTTCCCGATAGTTATTGTAACTTAAAATGCAATGTTTCATTTTTTTTCTACGTAAGAGTTTGCTTTGCTGCTCAAAATCTATGGAAGTTAGAAACTTGAAACTACAAAGGTGTGTACAAAAATGTACAAAGAGTTTAATGGATTAAAAAATTACGAATAGATTATTAGTTCGATAATTATTAAATGTTAAACTTGTAGTAAAAAGAAAAATTTTAAAAATTATGTTGGTTAATCGACTATCAGCTGAAATGCAGCTACAGAATTGAATTTTGAAGTGTTGCTAAAACCATTTTGTAATCTAATTTTAACGAGAGTTTTTTTTTTTCAAAATTGCTATTTGCTCAAAAGTTTTTCCAAATTTAAAGGCTTACTGTAATTTTTTCCGCTTTTTTGTTTTAAATATGAACTACTTTCCCATTGTTGTAGAAAATTTCTCTCGTGAGATCTTAACTTTTTCATTTTATAAGTTCGTGCTCGAGTAGATGTCAATCAAAAGTAGCAAAAAAATTAATGAGAGATAACATGTTTTCAGATATAAATCTGAACATTCATAGTGAAATTTTTTAAAGTGAAAAAAAAAACTTATTTAAAAGTAATGAAATTGTTAAAAGTAATAAAATTGTCAAAACTTTATGATATAAAAAAAAAAATGTTTTTTTTTTTGGAAAATACAAAATCTGTCTCAGCTTTTAATTATATGATGAAAAAGCTTACCATTTCGGTATGTGATCTATTGTTTCCACTATATCTTTATTTCTGGAAGGTACGAAAACTACTTTCTTCAATTCAGGAAGGGCTGTCAAATTTTTTAAAAAAAATAATTTAATATTATTAGACAATAAATTATAGTAAATTGTGTGACATACTTCTAGTTGTGACTGTTTGTGTCAGGCATATGAAGCTCGTGTAATGAAAAGTATTTAAATATCACACAAGCTTAAAAATTTTATAAAACAATAAGTACACATTTCAAATTAATTTAATAGTTTTTTTATTTTAATTAGAATATTTTAGAATATATTTCTTTTACATGATAAAAGAATTCATAAAAAAACACTAAAAATTAATATAACATATTATATTGACATAATAAAATATTTTTTGACAATCATATGGGCAAAAGCTACTCTTGATTTAATGTTACTAATAAACCAGGTGTTTTAAAGCGATGGTAGGCCGAGAGAGACCTGTTGGTAAGACGTTGGACTATTTGGGATCCACCACCGAAAAAAATAAGAAACAAATATTCATCCACCCTTAGTGCCATTTCAAAAGTTGAGAATTTTTCGCGTTTTTTCAAGCTGTCCCCAAGAGTAAATTAATTATGCGAATCGAAATAAATAACTAATATTTTTAAGTTAGAAAATTAATTAATTAATTAATTACTAATTATAAGAAAATTTTTTGCTCATCGAAAAAATGAACAAAATATTAAGTAATGTTTAAATTAGAAATTTAATAAACAATTAACGAAAATTTTTGTTAATCAAAATGTTTGAACGAAATGAATAAATAACTATGAAGAACAAATTTTTGGTTGCATTTATGGAGACAATTGATCTTGCCTAATTCAATTATAAGGATTTCAAATCTGCAATCGGATTCCCTCTCTAAGCCACAGTTTTTTTAAAATTAATTTTGTAATCTTTTCTTCATAAAAAATGTACAGATTTAAAAACATTATATATAACGGGTGTTAGCCGAGCAAATGTTACGACAGTTTATTAGGGGAGTTATGGTACATCATCATGATTAAAATTGCACAGGAACCCATGCCAGAAATTTAGTCGTATGCGTCTATGGAAACTTCCCTATTATAACCTATTCAGAAACACTCGGGGAAAAAATAGTTCATAAAAGGGGAGTGTCCCTAGAGGCGTACAATGATATTTTCTGGGCATAGGTTGCTAAGCTATTTTAATCCTTATCCATATAGTATCCTAACTACCTTAGAAGTTGGTCGTGACATTTACACAACCCCCTGTTATATATATAACGTTTTAAAACTTAAATATTTCGACACAAAATAGACTAAAAATGCCAATAAAAAAACTGTAGCTAGGGGAGCGAAACCAATTGCAGGCATGAAAATCAGCGCAACGAAAGTATCTAAGATTCGTTTCACAAAAATTTCATCCAACAGAAGAAAAAATTGTTCCCTTGTAGGATTTTAAATTAGAAAAGAAAATTTTACTTACCTATTTTTCCAGTAGAGTAGATCTTTATTAAATTGGAAGATTAATGAAAAATGAGAATAAAATTTTTGCAAATTTAAATAACTGAACAAGGTAAATTAATAAAAAAAATCAAAAAAAATTCCCTTTGACAAGGGTTGTATTAAACTATAGTGCAATAATTTCTGGGGATAGTAGTTATCGACCATGTCAAATTTTATCTATGAAAAGGTACCCCCCCCCCCATAGAATCGAGTTAACATGTCTTATATACTAGTGAATTGTAGTTGTAATTTTGTAGTGGTAGATACGCTACACATTCTTTAAAAAGCAAACAAAAGCCGATACAAACCGTTTACAACAGCGGGAAGTTTTTCCATCATTTTAATCTCTGTGTCTTCAAAATGAAAGTTTCCTGCAGTGAAAAGTACTTTAGGCTGTTCTTGCTCAAATCGTGAAAGAGCTCCCTGAAATATCACAAAACAAAACTCTTAGATTAAGCCAGAATAAACATTATAAATAGAATATTAACACCAGTAAAACACTTCTATTATAATGTTTCAAAAGTTTTGTAAAAACGATACATAAATGTTAATGATACCTTTACACCCATAAGAGGCAGTGATCCACACCATTTTGCACCAAGACTCGCAGTTGCGAGAAAGGAGAAAATTGCTTCCTTCTTATTTGACATATATACTGCAAATAAAATTAACCTTAAATTGATACAAGAAATTAAAAAGTCCTAATAAATTGTGCTGATAAAAAATTAAGAAGTTCTAATAAATTATATTGATAAAAAATTAAAAATCTTTATGAATGGTTTTTAAAAATATGATGACAAATATATAAATGATTAATTTGTTAATTAAGATTGTAAGAAATAATGAAAAAGCGATCATGGAAGAATAAATACAGAGTGTTCTGTAATCACCACCCTATATAGAACTTTATTATTATTCCTAGGAAGTAAATATCTCTACATATTAGGAGTCACAAATTGATATTAAAGCGAAGAAAAACGCTATCAAAACCAGAAGAATTATTAACGAAAAGGGTGATAAAAACGTCAAAACCAGTAACTTAACTGGTTTTTTCCTTCACGGCAAAAAAAAAATTTGATAAAATTACCGTGCTATATTGTAATGACATTTATGGTTAAAAAAAAGTTTTAAAAAATAAAAAATTAAAAAAAACTGCAATTCTGATTTATGAAACTGAAACTTACGGTATTTAAACCATTTTTTCGGTAATTTTTTCGTTCATATGGCGATGGTTTACTGAAAATTCTGAATTTTAAAATTATAGTTCTTATTACCCTACATTTAGTAAAAAATGTAAAACTGAAAAGCAAATATTTGACCAAATTGTATGCCAGGCTCTAAGAAATCATGATAAAGTTAACATGCTTTACCCTCTTTAAAAAATTTTATAAAATATTATAAAACCAAATTTTATTGTTAATTTTACCAAAACCAGTACCAAACCACTTCGGTAAAAATTATCTATCTTTTTGATGTTCCCATAGAGCCAGGAGCTCAATAGATTTTACCATATTCTATTAGTTTAAACCATACTTCTTTTCTCAGTGTTGTTTTGCGTTAATTTACAACCTTCAATGTACTTCATTGGTTTAAAAGATGTTTATTGAAGACAGCACACTGTAAAAAAATTCCAGATTAAATTACGGTATTAAGCACCAGCATCATCCGTAAAATCCATTTTACTATAAAATATTATAACGTAACTTTCACAGAATTATTTATTTAATAAGTGTAATACAGATATTTTAAGGTAGTTATTACTGTTAAAATTACAGTATATCAGGTTTTTTGTTCCATAACATGCTGCGGTAAACATTACTAACATACTGAGTACAGGTTTTCTTTGCCAGTACTTTGATCCGGAATTTTTTTACTGCGCAGTTACGTAATCTCCTCTATCAGTAGTATCAATATACACCGAAGAGCCATTACATTACGATCACCCTGCTAATAACATGTAGGACCACCTTTAGCCCTCAAATCTGCTAGCACCCGCCGTGGCATTGGCAAGGTGCTGATAGGTAGTCTGAGGTATCTGGTACCAAGCGCTCACCAACTGGTCTTGCAATTCCCTCACATTGCGAGGGGGTAGCGTGGCAGCACGACTTAGGTTTTCCAAGTAGGACCACAAATGCTCTATTGGATTAAGGTCAGGTGAATTTGGGGGCAAAGACATGACTTGAAAGTCACTGGAATGTTCCTCGACGATTCGACCCTTATGACCTGTTGGTAAACACCATCCCCCGCAGGAAAAACTGCTGTCATGAATGGGTGAATGCAACTATGTTCAAGTAGCTTACAGACGTCAGGGATTGTTCTATGAGGATTATGGGTCCTAATGTGCCCCATGAAAACATTGTTCTTGGGAGAGNCTTTCGGAATAATTTCATATGTTCTTTCTTGCAATATTCGTCTTCGTTTTTTTTACTATGACGCTTCGAAACCCCGGAGGTAATTAGGAATAACCCTGTATTTACAAATGGAAATAACTTTGCGTCACGTGTTGATAAATAAGTACATGCTTTATACCTCCAACTACATCTCCTTTGCATATTCCATTCTCTTTCAAAGCTTCTCTATATATTTTGACTTCTTCGTACAACTGTGCATATGTGATATAGGCGACATTGTCATAATCATCTGGAAAGAAATAAAGAAATAAATGCAAAAGTTCAAAAGAACCTTTTTGTTTACGCTAAATTTAAAAAATATTCAACAAATAGGTGGTTCCAAGGGGGATAAAATATTCATTAAAATAGCCATTTTTTCCTTTGTTAATTGGTAACAAAATTAAATTTCTAAAAAACATTAAAAAAGACTCCAAAATTCAGAGTTTTAAAGTAGGTAAACAAGTAAATTATAAGACGGCTGACAATTATTGCAATTATAGTACGAGTTTGTAAACGTGATAATTTCAACCTGACTTAATTCTTCACCCAACTTCACCCTCATTTTTAGGGATGATTATAGTTTTAAAATATAATACTTCTCAAACATTCTAAGGATTGTTAGCTTATATTCTTACATTTGTAAAAACTAATGAATAAAATTACAACTTTTAGTTATGATATAAGTATTTATTTTGTAAACATAATTCGCTATTTTTCGCTATTTTTCCCTAACTACAATCAATAATAATGTTCAGTAACTGCAAGCAATCGACTTACCACATTCAATTATAGCTGTATGTGAATCTCTGTATTTCAAAATGTTCGCAGCGTAGTTGATTCTAGCTCCTTTGAACCATTCCATGTTCGTAAAGTCATTTTCCTTATCATAAACCTATACATAAATATTTCATCTGTATTCAATATTATTCATTATATTCGGCATTGCGAGCACCAAAGTATCTTTGCAAATGGAATTTTAGTAAGACAATAAAATTAAGTATTATCCAATGATAAAAGCTATCAAAATATTAAAATAATTGTTTATATAAAAACTTTTAAATTTTTTTTAAATATTTTAAAAAAATTTCTAGAATGTAAATTTTAGATGTATGAGAAAGGTTGTTACGGAGCTGTGGAAACAATGCCAAATCAAACACTGCACGTAAAGTGCCGAAAACCAAATATCTTTAATAACTTTTGATGTAATTACCGCATTTTCATGTACTAGGGTTCAATCTTCATGGTTTGAGATCCGAACCTCAAACATATAAATTATACTCAGTTGCAAGTTAAGAAAAGACCATTGCGGTATAGGATTTAAGTAATCATAGGCGACTGCATATAATTACGTCTTATTTAGCTATCAAAATATATAATTATACTTTCAAAACAATATAAAAGCTTTTAAAAATTAAACTCGTCGAGCAGAAATTTAATTCGTGATATTTTCATAAGCAAAAAGAAGGCCGTGCTACGTCGTTTCAAGAGTTGGTGATTTTGATATTCGTTCGAGCTTAGAGTTCGCATCTATTTAGTGTGCTCCATAGAGATAAGGGTTTTTTCTTAACTTGCAACAGAGTATAGTCTGTACAGACTTTATTTTAAGTTAAGAAATCAGATGCAAAAAAAGTATTTTCTCTAAACAAAAACAAATTTTTTGATGGATTTGGCATTTTGGCTATCAAAATATAGAAAGTAGCCGCAATCTGGAGAGTATGGCGCTGAGAAGCAGAAGAGCAGGTCAAAGTTTTGGAACCTCCCCAGACAGCAGACAAACTTACTGCAAATGTTGTTTCATTTTCATTTTATTGGTATGAGAAAGTTAAATAATTAATATTTTTTTAACTAAGTGGAAATATTGGAATGCCAAGCTGTCAAATTGAATAAAGGTATGCAAAAAGAATTACAAAAAAATCTCTTCTTTTCTTCAACTTTTACTGTAAACTTTGTTTTTACTTTTTTCAACTTTGTCTCATATCGCGTAAACTAGCATAATTAAATTTAACATTGTATCAAGCTTGCGTGGTTTAATGGCTAATCCTCTATAAACCTTGTTGAACTCCTTCTAGGTTAATGCTGTTGTTAAAATCAACCTTACACTGCTATCTGGGCTTAATGATAATTTCACTTCTTGTGTAGCGCCGAGTTAGCCTGGTCGGTAGGGCACTGGACCCTTGTCCGAGAGTTCGTGAGTTCGAACCCCGCCGACTCCCCGTGTAGTAAAGTGACTGATGCACGTTAAATCTGTCGAGTCACGAAAGTCATCCATGTTCCCATAAGAAATCAATACCTCTGGGGGTACTAGATTGGAGATCGATCGTTCTCTGATTCAGGTCAAAATTACGATCTGTGGATGAATGAGTTCGCCCTATAAACGGGTTTGACGTATGGTGTGGCAGAAGTTGAATTCTTGGCCATAGATGGCGCCACTGGAAAACAAGAACAATCGCATCCCCTCCGCCTAAACAGGCACACGTCAATAACTTCTTGCATATTTCGACATATCTCCGATTATTAATGAAGTGAATCAAACGATTGTTGCTCATATTTAGAAAACTTATTTATCCAAATATAGATTGTTCTAAAAATAATTTTGTAACTACTAATTTACTTACTGTAACTATAAATAACTACTATGTATTTATTTTAATTATTTTTTTTACTAATGGTCGAAAACAGTCTGAAAGGTAAGGTATGCAATTTTTTGCTTCAACTTAATCTACGTAGTTTTAAATTATTAAAACCAAGATATGAGGAGAATTAAATAGTTTTTGAGAAAAAATAGTTCAAAAATACGACTTCTTCCAGTGGGCGAAGTACGCAAAATCAATCTGGAAAGATTCTTGATAATTATTCGAATCGTAAGTTATTGAAATGTGATTTTAAAAATGTCTTCTTACTTCGGTGTAGGGCTGGAGAGTATGGATATCAAAAAATTTCCAAACGCAATCCCAAAACTCTGGATAATTTTTTACAGACCATGCATGAAGATCCCAATAATTTTCTGAAAAGCGAAATCTTAAATGTATTTGATAAGCAGCAATAGAAACAATAATATACTATTAAACAACATTGATAAATTTCTGAGAGTTTGAAATTTGTAGCTTTAAAATCATTAGTTCTCTATCAAGTAATATTGAATGAAGAGTTAAGAGTTTGACATAAGTGGCAATAAAATCATTAATTCTCTATCAAATAACATTGAATGAAGAGTTAAGAGTTTGACATGAGAGGCAATAAAATCATTAATTCTCTATCAAATAACTTTGAATGATAGGTTTTTGAGAGTTTGACATGAGAAGTAATAAAATAAGCTCTATAAGATAACATTGAATAATAAAATGTTAACTGTTTGACATGAATAGCAATAAAATCAATAATTCTCTATCATATAACATTAAATAATAGTTGTTAAGAGTTTGATATGAGTGGCAATAAAATCATTAATTCTCTATCAAATAACTTTGAATGATACGTTGTTGAGAGTTTGACATGAGTAGTAATAAAATAAGCTCGAAGAGATAAAATTGAATAATAAGATGTTAATTGTTTGACGTGAATAGCAATGAAATGAATAATTCACTATCATATAACATTGAATGATAGTCGTTAAAAGTTTGACATTAGTAGTAGTAAAATCAATAACTATAAAATAACATTGAATGATATGCTACAAGCAATTTAACTTGAATAGCAATAAAATCAAAAATTCTCAGTTAAATAACATTTAATGATAAGTTGCTAAGACTTGGACATGAATAGCAATAAAAATAAGGTGCACAGTGGGCCAAAATAATGATACATCCAGAATAACTTTTGATCTAATGACCGAATTTTCATGTTCTAAGACTCAATCTTAATGGATCGAGGAAATGACCTCAAACATGCTAATTAATAAGTGCAGACGATATTTTAGGTCATGAAATCAGACACAAAAACGTACTTTCTCTAAATAAAAATTTTTTCGATGGATTTGGATTTCTGACATTCAAAATATAGAGGGAAGCCGCAATCTGAGAAATATAGTTTGGTCAGGAAAGGGGTCCAAAGTTCGAACCCTTTAATACTAATATTTCTTTTTACGTATACCACCATATCTTTGGAACTTTTTAAGCAAATTTAAAAAATTTTGAGCACAACTATAAAATTCGTTTTCTCAAAGAAAATTCCACTCAAAAAATAAATTTCAGTAAATATTTATTTATTTTTTATTATTTTATTTAATAATAGTCGGAAGAAATTAACATTATCAGAAAAATTAACAAGGTATACAATTATTTACATCATTTCAAAGTATTTAGGTTTACATGCCAAAATAAAAAATTTGAGATAAATCTGTTGAATTGTTTCTGAAAAATCTAATTTCAAAAAGCCATATGTTTAAAATTTTATGTCTCAGGAACTATTGCATCGATTTCTCTCTAATTTTGTATTTTGTTAGGCAAAATTAGATACTTGAAAGCGATATAAATACTTTTATACTTTTGCTGTTCAAATATTTTTAATTACTTAATGAAGTAATAAAAAATAATGAATATTTACAGAAATTTAGTTTTTGCACGGTAGTTTTGGGCAAATGAAATATATAATTGAGTTCAAAATTTTTTCGATGTGCTTAAAAAGTTCTCGAGATATAGCGAAATACGCAAAAAGTAAAATTAACATTAAGGGGTCCAAACTTTGGACCGCTCTCGTGATCAAACTTCGGAAACCGTATTTCCCAGATTGCGGCTACCCCCTATATTTGGGANGTTTGCTTTCCAAAATACAAAATTTGAATAGTTCCTGAAAAATCTAATTTTAAAAAGGCCATATGCTTAAAGTCTTATGTCTCAGGAACTATTCGATCGATTTCTCTCTAATTTTGTATTTCGCCAGGTAAAATTAGATACTTGAAAGCGATGTAAAAAATTTCATACCTTTGCTGTTTAAATATTTTAAATTATTTAATGAAGTAATAAAAAATAATGAATATTTACAGAAATTTAGTTTTTGCACGGTAGTTTTGGGCAAATGAAATATGTAATTGAGTTCAAAATTTTTTCGATGTGCTTAAAAAGTTCTCGAGATATAGCGAAATACGCAAAAAGTAAAATTAACATTAAGGGGTCCAAACTTTGGACCGCTCTCGTGATCAAACTTTGGAAACCGTATTTCCCAGATTGCGGCTACCCCCTATATTTAGGAGGTCAGAAATAAAAATCCGTAAAAAAAAAAGATATCTCTTTTCAGAGAAAGTACGTTTTTGTGTCTGATTTCGTAATTTAAAATATCGTCTGCACTGATTAATTAGCATGTTTGAGGTCACCCCTCGAATCATTAAGATTGAGTCCTAGAACGTGATGATTCGATCATTAGATCAAGAGTTATTCAGGGTGATCCCTTTTTTTTCGAGGAAATCTGAATCCGTAAAAGAAGAAAATATATCTCTATTCAGAGAAAGTACGTTTTTGTGTCTGATTTCGTAATTTAAAATAACACCTGCATTAATTAATTACCATGTTCGAGATCACTCCCTCGAATCATTAAGATTGAGTCCTAGAACGTGATGATTCGATCATCAGATCAAAAGTTATTCACGGAGATCCCTTTTTTTTACATCAATATTACCAATCTACGATATCTCATGAATAAAATTTGATAAATAAAAGCAAAAGTTAACAGTTATAGTCCACATTAACTCCCTCTCCTCTATCTTGTATCTCAGAAAAAGATAAAAGAAGTATAAAAATCTAGTATTTGGCAATACTATGTTAGTAATGCAATGCAGATGATCGTTTGAACACATTTCAAAATATAAAATTTAACTAACTTTTAATTTGATTAATCACAAAAAACATTACATCCTTGGATAGGTGTTAAATTGAATATTTCAAAACTATTATGATCTATAAAATTTGACTCTTCTGAAAATCATAAATCTGCTAATAAGTTAAACGAAAATTATAGATTTATAATTATAAGAAAATGTTAAATTGATAAGTATGTTTATTTAATTACGAATAAAGTATATTTGTTTATATTACCTAATTTCACTGGATGCCTTTGTTCTACAAATCTGCAAAAGCGAACAAGTTGAGTCTCTTTGATTTGAGGTTGATAAAGTAATTTAGGATTTGGATCTGCTACTATTGGCTTCATAATTGTTTGAAGTTCCTTGAAATGTAATACAAATAAAGCAAAGAAAACGATATTTAATACATTAACAAACAACAAGCTTTTAAAATTGACCTAAATAAATCACATATTATAACAATCAATGCACGGAAAATTGCAACATTTTTTAATTCCAGATTGCATTTCAAAAAAATAAATACATATATAAGTAAATAAAAGGAAATAAATATGAATTTTTATTTTATGTGAGTCTCTATTTTTTTCTCAATATAAATAGTTTCATGACATTTACGCAACAAGGAAGTTTGCAATTACATTTATAGTTAATATCCCTAACAAATGTTATCCTGCATAGTGAATTTAATTTATTAATTTTACTTTTATTGGAGTATTAAAATCTCTATGAACAAGAATTTCAATAATTTTATTATAATTATAATAAGAAGAGGATTTTCCAATGGTACAATATATATCTTATTACAAAACCTAATTTAATAAATTCCTTTGTAACCTCGTATTTCGGAATGCTTATGTTTTCCATTATTTAACTACAATCATTGCTGTAATGAAAAAAAATCCTTAATTTTACTTAAAGTAATGTCTTTCACTTAAAATATACAGGATTAAAATGTCATTTATATAGAGGGGAAAGAATACAACCGTTATTTTGTGTTTCAATTTTTTCATTAATTTGTAAATATAACTAGATTTTATTTTTTTAAGTCAAATTTTATTTATTTTTAAGCTCAAATTACTAAGATTCTTTTCAATCAGTTAAAATTTCAGAAAGTTAATTAAGTTTATCTAATTAAAAAATAGATAACAAATTAAAATCTTTTTTAAATTTTTAATGCATTTTAGTGTTTTATATGATAAAATAGGCCTTTTGATGCAGTAAATTAATATTTTGTAGAAATATTTTAAATAGTTTTTAATTACTCGAAAACTATTTAAATACTTTTTCAGACTTAAATGAATTTAAACAAAGCTTTATGGTTTCTTAACTAAAAACTGCTGCTTTGTGCTTCAATTTTTGAATTAATTTGTAAGAAAAACAAGGTTTTATTTATTTAAAATCAAACTTTATTTATTTATCATCAAATTTCATTTATTATAATTAGTTTCCATCAAGTAAAATTTAAAAAATTAAATTATATTTATCTAATCAAAAACTTTAAAAGCAAATAAGACTCCTTTAAAATTTTAATTTTCCTAATTGATAAAATATACACTTCTAATACAGTAGTTTAATGTTCTGCAAAAAAAAATTTCAGCAGTTATAAATTATTTGAAAAATTTTTAAATACTTTTCCAGATTTAAATAAAAAATTTTAAGAAAAAGAATTTTAATTACTCACCAAAAATATTATTAATTATAGTATATTTAGATTAAGCTAGTTAAATGTCTTATTCACAAGAGTGCTTACGATAGAAAAGAAACAAAACGAAAATTGTATTATCGAAGAGTTGTTATCAGTTACACTGATTAATTTCCAGAACTATGAATGTGAGATAAATGAATATGATAAATCACTTCCTCAAATAAAGACGTTTACTAAATGGCCATCTTGGTCAGAAAAATTCCTCCTATTTATTTGCTTTCTCACACAAAAGAATTTATCTTTAAACATTTGTTTTTGTTAAAAACTGATTGGAAGATAACATGAAATAAACAGAAAAAGACATAAATAAATTCTTGCGCAAAGACCTTTGCACCATTACTTGCAACAGAAATTTTAAATTAGCTTTTTAAGTATGTTTATTTGTAGAAAGTAATGCAATCCTATACTATAGGTCTCTCATGACGTATAATTTTTCAAGTGTTTTAAGTGTTGATATAATGAGTTAGCATAATTTTGTGTATCTATGATAATTTTTATTTATTATCACTCGCAACTGAAGAGTTCACTTGTTCTGAAAGTTACCTGTTGTTGTTTTTTAAAAATATTATAAATGCATGCCATACACGAACACAAAAGACGGCAACTCACTCATACACTGACCAATTCATGTCATCCAATATTCAAAAAAATTTAATTACTACAAATTTACAAAGATTGTACATTTTCAGTTTTTCCAAAATTTGTCTATGCGCTATGCACTTTATAACTCTCTATGCAATTAACAATTATGTAATTTTCTTTGTTTACTAAATATACTACAAAGCAAAATATTTTAAAAGAACAAATATATCAGTAGCAGATATTAATAAAAAATACTTTAACAGGAAAAAAAAATTTCAATGCACTGAAATTTTATAAAATCGCTTACAACTTATACAATGCATTAATTAATGCAAAGCCATAATCTTTTCCTATTTCTGGGGAGCAGATCATTGGTCTGATTGATTTGACAAAATACTCATATTAAGTGTTTTTAGTTGTATATTTTCAGTAGTAGTATAATAAAGATATTTATGTTTTTTTAATATTTACATAAATCCATCAATTGTATAAAATAATAATATTTAGCTTCTATTTACTTCAGTGTTGTACGAATTCATTTGATGCAGTAAAGCATAAACACCAATAATTGTTAAGACTTCGAATTTTGATGTTTATGAAGTAAATCTGAAAATATCTGAAATATGATATAGTATTTGAAAATATGAAGACGAATATCGAAGCTTAGGCTTAGCTAACTAGGCTTAGCTATTGACCTAAACCTACGGCTGTGCTAGTTCTAAAATCATATATTTTCCAAATAATTTCAATCTTCTTGACGGAACCGTGGTGAGTCAGAGTATAGAACGTTCGCATTTCAATGAGGTGAACAAGGTTCGAATCCCAGCGATTGCAGCTTTATACAAATTTCCTCAAAGTTGATATAAAATATGCTCAGCGGTAGACGGATCATGGGTTTGAGTCCCTTTGCTGTAAGGCCAACCGGGGGGGGGGGGTTNGGGGGGGGGGGGTTCGTGATTTTCTTCTCAATACAACGCAAATGCGTTGCGAGTGAGTTCCGTCAAAAAAGTTCTCCAGGAATGTAAATTTCTCTCAATACTTACTCCGAGTTAGCTCCATCAAAAAAATCCTCCACGAAGGCAAGTTTCTCCTATTACTTGATCCGGAGTTCCCTTGTCTTCTGAATTGGGTTCAAAATTACAAGGCTACGGAGTTGAACATTAGTAGTTCAAACCCAAAATTGGGTCGGCTGTTCAACGACAGCTATAAAATAAAATAAAATCTTCTTGAGGATGAGACGTGGTGGCTCAGGTGACAGAGAGTTCGCCTTCCAGTAAGGTGAACCTTGTGCGAAATCCAGAAATGGCTCGTTGATCCGAATTCCTCACTCGGCTCGCACCGACTACAATGTAAAATATCCTCAATATTAGATCAATCATTGGCTTGAGTCCCCTTGTCGTCAGGCTAGCTAAGGGGAGTTTTCTTTGTTTTCCTCTCCATGTAACGCAAATGCGGGTTAGTTCCACCAAAAAGTCATTCCACGAAGGTAAATTTATCTCAATACTTGATCCAGGAGTTCTTCTAGATTGTGTTTCAAATTACAAGGCTGCGGAGTTGAACATTAGTAGTCGTCAACTCAGAATTGGGTCGACTGTTCAACGATGGTTACAAAATCTTCTTAACGGTTTGAGGCTACACACTGCTCATATCCTATTTAATAAGTTACAGTTACTGATATTTATCCTGGTTACTGATATTTATATTGTGTCATATGGTTTATTATTTTCCAAGCAATTCCTAGTTTCTTGCTGGATGGATTTGGCAAACTGATCATGTAAACTGTTATAAAACGCATGTATATTTTTAGTACTATTCTAAAGATATTTATGTTTTCATAAGATTTACATAAATCTATAAATTAAATCAAATAATTTTTAATAATATTTAAATTACATTCCCTTCGGTTTTATTAAACTTTGTTTGAAATCATATCAATATTTTCTCTGTGCTATGTGTAAGTTTTTAATTACCAAACTAATTTCATTTTAAAAAATATTGTACATATGAATCCTAAATTTATGATTCTTGCTTAATATTGCATCGTAAAAGTAACTTTACTGACTCTTATGCGTATCTTATTTTACTGTAATTAAAAATTTCAGTGTCACTGAGCAACAAACATGGTAGCGGCTATTTTTCACCAAGTAATATAAAAAGTGTTTAGGTGTTCACTGCACTAAGGAACTATCCTTGGTTTTGGTCTAGTGGAACATGTAATGAAATGTTGTAAAGTAGTTGCCATCATTTTTTGGTGTTCAGATACGTTTTACAGCGTAGTGAAAAAATGACTTTGTTGACTCTTTTGTTTTTTATTTTATTTAAAAGTTATCATTAACTTTAACGTTACTGAACATTGAAAATGGTTGTTGTTGTTGTCTTATGCTACTTGTCAATATTGACAAGCCTATTTTAAGGCAGAGGGGTGCACTTCTTCTTGTTTTGAAGTGGCGCCATCTATGGACAGGAATTCTATTTCCACCACGCACATACGTCACATCCCGTTTTACAGGGAGGACGCATTCACACGCCATCCATCCACCCGCAGATCGTAATTTTGTCCTGAACCAGAGCAGTTTGTTTATACCAAATTATTTCTGTTTCACTACACCACTTTTGGTGTAAATTGGTTAGCGAAATTCTTTTGGTGTTAAGATACACTAAAAATTTTTACAGTGTCTTTGAAAGTACACATTTATATTTACATACTGCACTTATATTCCATATTATTTTTTGAAACAAAATTAATAAACAAACGATTTCTTTCTTCGTTTTTTCCAAAATCTAAATTGGAAATATGTAGCTTAAGTTAAATTTAAATAAAAAAAAATCACTATATACTTTTGATAGCTATATAGAAATCAGTTAAATTTTTTACATAAATTTTTTAATAATTGCATTTAGGAAATATTTTAATGATTTTTATAATGAGTTTTAATGACTTACATGATTATTTACTCTGATTTGTATAAGTATATTTCTTAATGCATTTTTTTAAGTTTGAAGTAGCTAAGTAGTCTAGTTCTTTGCATTCATTTTGAGTTTACATGAGTCATAAATTGCATTTTTATTTAGATTTATTAGATTGTTACTTTACAGTAAGCAATAAAACTCGTTTCATTCTTAAATTGGTCAAATTCATTCATTTAGTAATAAAGTCTTAAATTCTAGTTGTATTATCTGAGTAACCTATGTGTTTGATCGAACTTATCTGAATGAAAAAAAGGGAAGAGATATATCTTTGCACTGCTATATTATTTAAATAGAACAACAAGTTAAAATACTGAAATAATGCCGATAATTATAGATAATGTAAGTTAATTACCATACTTTCTAGTGTAGAAATCGACTCTCTGTTAGTAAATCCATAAATATTTTAGAGCCAGGCATAAAATTCGTCTTATTCCTGAATAGATTAAAATTCATTCATTTAGTAATAAAGTCTTAAATTCTAGTTGTATTATCTGAGTAACCTATGTGTTTGATCGAACTTATCTGAATGAAAAAAAAGGAAGAGATATCTTTGCACTGCTATATTATTTAAATAGAACAACAAGGCTGAGTACTGAAATAATGCCAATAATTATAGATAATGTAAGTTAATTACCATACTTTCTAGTGTAGAAATCGACTCTCTGTTAGTAAATCCATAAATATTTTAGAGCCAGGCATAAAATTCGTTTTATTCCTGAATAGATTAAAATTCATTTATTTAGTAATAAAGTCTTAAATTCTAGTTGTATTATCTGAGTAACCTATGTGTTTGATCGAACTTATCTGAATGAAAAAAAGGAAGAGAGATATCTTTGCACTGCTATATTATTTAAATATAACAACAAGGCTGAGTACTGAAATAATGCCGATAATTATAGATAATGTAAGTTAATTACCATACTTTTTAGTGTAGAAATAGACTCTCTATTAGTAAATCAATAAATATTTTAAGACCAGGCATGAAATTCGTTTTGCTCCTGAATAGATTAAAATTCATTCATTGAGTAGTTAAGTTTTGAATTCTAGTTGTAATATCTGAGTAATTTTTGTATTTTATTGTGCTTATCTATTAAATTAGAAAAATGATTACTAACATTATCTACTAAATTAGATAATGTAAGTTAATTAGTGAATAATTCTCTAGTGCAGAATTTCTAGTACAGAACTCTCTTCTAGTGAATTCAAAATTTTTGATTTTGTGGGTATTCAGCGTATAAGTCGAAACCTGCATTCGGTTTACACTTATTAAAACCAATTTCCAACCAAATGTAATTTTTCTTAAAAGGATATTAACTAAATGCAAATAATAAATTTTAATAATAATTAAAACAAATAAATCAAATTCCCATGAGCCCCAATCAATCCCCACCTTTTATTATTCGATACAATCAGTAATTTGCCGTTAAAGCTTGAAAGATTCTGTTAATCTACTGCTTAACTGGGTTAAAGTGCGTTAAAGTGCATAATCAAGAATTTTCAGCATTTTTTTCAGGTAACGAGCACAATGACTGCAAAAGTGCGTGACTGCAAAAATCGTTAAAGTGCAAAAGTTTGTCTCTTTCATTCACAATTTTGTTGATTGTTTGGACTTGATTATCGAAATATCGAAAAATAAATAAAAACAACTTAATTCCTTCTGTTTTAATATTCAAAACCATTTTATTCTAGGCATTATAAGTTTTAAAGTGAATGGTGATTGATTTTTTCTCAATTATTTCGTAATTTATTGATTGTTTGATTGTAGTACATTAATTTTTCAGGTAGCAAAAGAAGTATAAATAACATTGTTTGCTTAACCCGTTAACACACATACTTCATACTTTTTTCCTTAATTTGTAAATCAGGTCAAATTAAGTGAAAAATAATATATTTAGCATTTCAATAATTTATGATTATGAAATACAGCGTGAAACTCCAGTGATTTTTTTTTCTGAGTTAAAGTTCTTTTTTTTTTTCATTTATTTGTTCATAATTAAGATTGTTAAACGTTTCCCTTATCTTATCAAATACATCGTACCAACGAAATATTTTCGGACTAATCAGTTTGTTTAATTAGGAAAAGAGGACTTACAATGAAGCTATAATAACTTAATCTTAAACTTCAATAGAATGAAGAGTTGGGAACAACTAATCAGTAAACTATTCTCTAAAATGGTTTTCGATTTCTTTAAATACCATTTGAAAAGTGTTATGTTAGGTTACTCACGTTGAAAATTTCAAGCAAACGAAAATTTAAAATTTTGAAAAATTTTAATAATAATATTTAAATATTTGTGTCAAACATGGAAAATTTTAGGAGGCTTCAAAAATGTATCATGTTTCATGTATATATATATATATATATATATATACTTTTAATGAAAATATCTT